ATTTTAAAGATATGATCATTTAAAATTATTTTGTAACACTGCTGTTGAACTGAATTTCATGGATAAGTGCGAAGAACATGATATTTAATAAATAAAGGTAACACAGAAAATGTTTTGAAAAATGCTCCTTTGGACGCAATTTAAAATCTGAAACCTTTCAGATTTTTTTTAGTCCAAAGGGGTTTTCTCCCCGAGGGATTATTGTTTTCGTTTTGCGATTTTGCGTTGAATCACTCTGAATGTCCATTACACTTTTCAAACTGTCGCCACCATATGTTATCGCCCTGTATTGTATTTGACGAAATTAAATAACGAAGAGTCTGCATAAATGTATGTGTGTTTCTTGTGATTGTGTCTTTCATTGTGATAAAACAATGGTACCCACAGCCATCAAATTTTGAATGACGTAGTTCTACTGCAAATATGGGCATCTGGAAGCCCAAATTTGGAATTTGTTTTATTATCGATTTCATATTTTGTAAAACTTTAACAATTTTTTTATTAACATACTCAAGGATTTCAAAGCGAGGAATGGCAACGTTCTACAGAAAAAACATTTTTCTCTCCAGCACGTGACACTGTGTATCGGAAATTCTAAAGATATGCTCAATTTAAAATTATTCTGCGATATTGCTCTTGAACTGAATTTTATGATTTAAGTGCAAAGAACATGATATTTAATAAATAAAAGTAACACACAAATTTAAAAAAAAAAAAAAAAAAAAAAACACCCCTTTGGACATAACTTAAAATCTGAAACCTTTCAGATTTTCCTTTTTTATTATACTTATTTATTTTAACCAAATGAAAAATTTACTTTCAAAATAAAGAATAGTACTGATATTAAGCCTTCTTTCAGTAGCTGGTAGAATCATTGCTGAAGTTAATCTCAACAGTAGAAAAAAGGAAGAATTACATTTTAAAAGATACCATATTCCATCTCTAGGAGAAAAATTATTTTATTTTGAAAATATTATAAAATAGAAAAATCTATCGCTTTGTGATAAATAAATGCATACAAACTATTCGATTAATAATAATTTTCAAAATTTCTTAATAAAAAAATTATGCGTCCTAAACTGTTTTAATTTTTAAAAAATCGAATTATTAAATATAAGAATTTTAAAACAGCAAAATATACTTTTACAGCTCGAAAGATCTGATGAAAAATGATAATGCCAAAAACGGTTATAAGAAAGAAACGCGACTTAGCGTGAATAGAATGACTTCCCAATTTAAAAACGGCGGTAAGTGACGCAATGAACTGGGAAATGAGTCAGATGCTAAGCAATCAAGGTCATGACGTCGTATACGAACAGAAGATCCGACACCTAAGAAGATTGACTGACGTCACCACATATGACGTCAATACCCCAGAGGAAATCAACGAATCAGAGCAAGCCTTTCATCGTGTTAGCATTACTACAGGTATTTTATGCGTTTTCAAGTGCTAACTGGTCACAAGAATTCCGAAAAAGATGTTATGCTATCAAATTACAGTTACATGAAAAATTCATGTTATTCGACATACTTTTCGGAAATAAAATCAATGAACAAACATTTTTTACAGTATTTTCATTCTCAATAAAATGTGAGAGAAATACGGTATTTCAGTTACAAGACACTGAAAATTACGAACTTCATTAAAATTTAGTAATTAAAATATTAAATGAATAAAAGTCCATTAATCAGTGAGAATCATTTTTTAAAAATATGATAAAATTTTTAATACTTATGCAGATATTATATATGTGTGTATGTGATGATTTGAAAATGTCACAGACGTGAGATAAAGTATGAAGCAGTATTTGCAGATGTAACAAACTGAAGAAGCAGTTGTTGCAGATTTAAATAACAGTCTTTTCATTTTAGTTAAATATTTTGCAGCCATATTTAATCTGGCACATTAATCATGCCTGTTGTAGAACATTAATATTTTTTACATCTCTGCGGCAAGAAGAATGAAGACGCAGCAGCAATCCAGTTAGGCCGAGTAGCAGAAGTGAAGTGTGTTATGTTCAGGATGAAATCTTAATTGAGAATGGGTTACTTTCCATTTTAATGCCATTTGATTAATAAAACTCTAAAATTATTACTGAAGGCTTATACAAGTTGTTACAAAAATGTTATGAAAAGTCATATTTAGGACTCAGTATTCCACTTCAGTTCAGAGAAAATTATTATATGCACTTTTTAGAATAGATAAGAGAAATACCCAAATTAAAATTAAGAATAAGAGAAGCTTAATTAAAATTAGAATTTTGTTTTTTATTTTGTAATTTTACATATATATGGATTTTAATAGATTTTCTCTAATATTAAAAACTAAAGACATTTCAAATAAGAAATGCTAGCACCATTTGAAACACAATATTAAACGCATTTGCATTTAGTCTACGTCACTCAAATATTATTTGCTACAGCTTTAGGCCACGTGCTAAAAAAAAATGGTACTGTTCTGTTATCAGGAGTGAATTCAAAAATGTAAGTATGTACGAATGTGTGTGTGTGTATATACATATACACACATACGATCGGTAGCAGTATTTTCTGGACCTAGAACCATAATACAGATTTCACCATTCATAATTTGATTGATATTGAGAATCGTTGTCATCACAATGAAAAACTTCTTTTATATCATCTTCATTTATTACCGCTTCTCCACATTTCTTTACAAAATCCATTAATTGGAAAATTTCACCTTTGTTTTGCGATATCCGAAAACCTTTAAAATTCGTCAGCAAATTTACCTATCGTTCACCATACATATTTGGCTATTCATCATGAGCTTGGTGACTAACAAGTTGTTCCATTAAATTTTATCTTGCTTCAATCGTGCACTGGGGCAATTAAGATTGAATTATATTAGTTTAGTTATTTATTATACTTATGTATATTTCTTGCAAATGCTTAAGGCTTATCAGAGTTCTGAATAAATAAATTCCCACATATACTTAAGCCTTATTGAGCGCGGCGCTAGATATCTTATGGCCTGATGCAGTCTCTGCGAATCCTAAATTCCGAGACCTGGTGCTGGGTTTATGTGAATAACAAATCAGTTATTCTTAATTAAAATAGCTGTAAATGTAAATTTGGGGTCTATGAGTATTATCAACAAAATCTATTTTTAACATAGGGAAAGAAATTTTTGTTAAATTTTTCCTTGTCAACATATTTTAGGGCATTTAACTTAAATCTGTAATCATCGCCAAGCATATTGTCAACATAAAAGGTTATCATACTCCTTTGTTATTCAATTATTAACATAAATTATTTAGGCATCGTTACATGAGTTATTACTCAAGTTTTCATATGTTTAAACATTCTTCGGTGATGAAAGAAAAGTATAATAAATAATAATTCGCCGGGTTGGCGTCAGATCAATGATGTATCTATGTGGAATGTTTCGGTTTGAGATTTGTGCCAAGCAGATACGAAGCAAGAGCAAAATTACTGATCGTTTTATGCTAAAATGATTGTTTCTTCAATAACAAGGTATTTTATTTAATGTCGAAGTGAAATTAAGAATCGGGACTCTCCAGATGTTTTATTATGCATGGAGGGGGAATCAAATGTGCATGTGTAAAGCTTACGAGGAAAACTTTGTTGGTGGTTTTGAGGTTCGGATTTTAGATCATTCCGGATAATGGACGTCCGAATTTTGGACTTTGTACTGTAGTAAGTATTCATTACACAATGTAAATACATATAGATCACTTGGAACATTTAACTTCTAATTTTTAATATTAGAACTCAAAACACTTTCTTAAACTGATATATTAAGCATCCCCGCCATGACACTAGTATTGATTAGAATTATGGAATTGGAATTTCAGTCAAATTTGTTTTATAAATACTGTTTGGAGAAAACAAATGAGATAATTAACAATTTATTTTGCTTTATTAAATTAATTTATTAAACCATCCTTATATTTTAGAATAAATTTTAAGAAATAAAAATGTAATTAAATATTTGATAAGAGCAGCAGTAATTTTAATTAAAATGAAAGAGCAGCTATTTAATTAATACAGTATTTTGCTTTGGTATAGAAAGAAAAATTAGGAAAAGTGACTGATACATTATCACCTATTTATTTTTAAGTGACCAGTGACAGTATAGGGGTGGCAGGTTGCTCAGCTAGATGTGGCTCTTATAATTAGAAGTAATACAGTTTATGTATTCACTAATTATCTATTTGATTTATTAAGTATTTAAACAATGTAATCATTCTATAAAATATAATAATCATACTCCTTCTTATTCTGCAATTTCATAGCTGTTGTAACACAAATTAAAATGTTTAATTTAGCTTTGGAAGAACTTTTATTCATGTATGACTAATTTTTGGCAATACCACACTGAAAATAAATTTAGATATTATGGTAAAGCTTTGGTTTATTTGATTATGGCAAAGCATTTGAGTATTATGGTAAAGGTAAAAACTTTTAAATATAATTTTTATATAACTGCTTACATATATCCTTACTTCACAATTCCCTTACTATCTATACCTTTTTCCCTAGCCAAAGAATATGCAGATAACTGTCATGTACTTTGCCGTATTTAAATAACCGAACCATTTTCCTACCTACGTAAGCCCTCGTATGCTTTGCCATATTTAAATAACCTAACCTAGCCGTGCAATACAATTCTTTAACACAATTAGTTCGAAAAACATATGATAAGGAGCTCAGTGATTAAAAGGTTTTGTCTGGTTTAATTCAATTATGGCAAAGAAGGCAAGGGCTATCTATCTCAAAAGGTTTGGAAACCATTGGCATAAATATAGTCATTAAATACTGATTATATAATATGTTAATTTAATTCATATAGAACATTTCACACAAACATTTACAACTGCATAGGGTTAGCTTTATATTTGCTTTTAAATAAAACAAAGCAATCCATGGGGAAAAAAGAAACATGAAAATAAATAAATCAAATAATTCATTACTTCTCACACATTAGTAAAAAAATATTTCAATCATTTTCTCACCTGTGAATTCCACTATCTCTTCTTCTTTTACCATTTGAATGAAGAAACAATGCTGTTTGTGTAAAAGGATTAATATTTGTTTCTGAATCTGAAATCAACTGGGGGGAAAATACTTGTTTAGAACGACGTCCACGGTCCAAGTTATGATTATGATCATACACATCGACTTTTGAAGTTCTTGAATCGTTTGTATATTTTGACAATGTCCTATTACTTTCGACAGCTGACAGTTCGGATTGCTTCAGTAAGGTTTTAGGAGACTGAGGTGAACCAAACAGTCTCAAGGCTCTGACTTTTTTGTAAGGGGGCGTGCTGTCGACACTCAATTGAACAGCAGCACCCCTATTTAGATTTTTTCGGACTGTCGGTCTTTTTGCAGTGCTGCATAAATCGCTCAAAATAGAATCTGTCGACGAATCCAATTTCTCATCGTCACCATCACTTGAAAATGCACGGATATTTCTTAGGATAGGACTACATTCATATGCAGCAGGAGATACATAATGGTCCATTGGCGTATAATCAAAATCATCCGTATTGGCATCTGATTGAAATTCGGATTCACCATCACTAAAATCCAGTCGCTGGATTAAACCGTCATCCTCCACACCAAATAACATTCTCGGTTTGATTACAGACATCTTCTTAAACGATTTATTGGTTTCCCCACATGAAACATGTGAACTGATGATACGTTTGAGACGAAACTGAAATCGCAAAATTGTAATCTCAAACAATTTTCAGATATGGCGGCAAACGTGAACGGTTTAACCGCTCGAGAAGTGAAATGGCCAATCAAGAAAAGACGTGATAGCGAAGGAGGGGTTGCCATATGCTATGTTTTATCGGCAGTTTGGCTACATGTTTTCCTATTTTCTGTGTTGCTCTTACGATTAACATTTAAACTCGAGGATGGAAGTATTTTATATATCAGTTTCAAAAGATGTTTTAAATTCTAAATTTCATCCCTTTAATTCCTCTAGAATTAATTCAATTTACTAGAAAATAAGAAAGAGCACTATAATGTTAATAATTCTAACCTGAAAAATGTACAGCATATTTTGTCTTTCTGTACAATTTAAAAAGAAATTGAAAAAATAATTTACACTTGCAATATATAAATTGTTTACTCACTTTTCACTTCTTACAAAAATTTTCGTTTCAGTTTCTGCTTACAAAAGGGCTTCTGTAAAGTTCTTCACATGGAGTGTCTATTGTATTTTGATATAATTAGGCTAATTGGTTATGATAAAGCAACTCAAGGGATAACCACCTGAGGAAAAAAATACCTTTATGAAGAATTTTTTAAAGGAAACTGGCTAACATGCGTATAATATTCCTTGATATAAGGAAATGAGAATTATTATTTTTACTTATTTTTCATTGAATTGAATAATATAATTAAATTTTATCTTCATGCAAGTGTACTTTTTTTCAACTTTACACTAAAATTTTCGATAATGGTTATAGATATTGGATAATCATAAAATGATATGCCTGTGGAGGTAAAGGTTTAGTTATCAATAATTATTTGTTTTTTCATATAAAATTCCATTTCTGATGATTTTCGTTTAAGTTTTAAAGTTTAAAAAAATTGCTTCAATATATTTAACGTTTATTTTAATGCACTGAGAAATATAAATTTTCTGCGCCAAATAAGAACGCCAGACTGATTCTTTTTCACTTGCCCTTCCTTAATACGTTTAAAAAAACAACAGACAATCGCTAACCGAAAAAGAGTAAACTCAGTTTGAACTAGGATAAAGGTATAAAAGAGAGCAGGTTTTAAAACCCACGCCGTCTACATTCAAATTCGGCTCAGCGGTTGTAAGCTGAAGGCAAATTTAAAGATCCCCAAGTGTTAATATCAGCATTCATTTATGCGGGTAAAATCAGAACAGACATATAAAATGTAAAACTATTTTAAATATAAAAGCAAAATCCTCATCTCTAAACATAGCATGAAACTATGCAAAGCGTATGTTATTTTATATGTAGAAATTTTAAGTTTAAAAAAAAATAAGAATTTCACGATTTCAGATTTTATGAAAACCGTATAATACATTTCCATAAGAGAGCAATCTCGATCTCATCAGACGATAAGGAATGTTATGATTGAGATTTCAGCAACGCCATCTAAAATTTTTTTCATAACTAGAAAAACTCAATAATAAAAATAAAGAATTTTATGGTATATAAGATTTTAAATATGTAAAATTTCCCTAAAATTCTGAGTAATTTAGATTCCTACATATCTTGACCGGATGCGAGCCTCGGAGAACGAGCTGAATGGATAAGCATTTTCGTAGTTTTACCTAGTAAGGTGAATACGAGCCAGTTTCGCCTAGAAAGTCTTCCACGAAGGCACCCTTTCCGTTAGGCAGACAGCCCTTCTATGCTTTACTATAAATATACTATAACTTAATATAATTTATTCAATTTGAATTTTCCACATCAATATGATGTAAGTAGATATAACGTGTGAAGTAGTACAATGAAAAGTTTGAAGAATTATTTAAGCTAAACATATTAAATTAACGAAATTTACAACATGCTGTAACATCTGATAAAAGAGAAATTCACGATGTAGGCAATTTTGGTATTTAATCAATTGAATGCCGTGTACACTTTCTACGACGGCCACACAAGTTTCTAGATGATTCTGACCTTCTATGCGAGTCGTCATCTTAGAAAAGAGATATTCAATACAGATGTTTATTTATATTCAAAGAAATACTGGTCACTTTCAGAGCTGGTCGTCTTAAAGAGGTAGCTGCCACTAGATGATTCACTGTAACATACTTTTTTCACTGTAACATACTTTTCTGTAACATCCTTTATCCTAGTTCAAACTGAGTTTACTCTTTTTTTTTTTTTTTTTCAAAATCAAATATTAAATACCTTATCAGTCGCTAAATTCACGATACTAACCACTAATATTCACTCACAGCGATGCGGAGTTATGAAAAGGCACTGTATTTTCTAAATGTAATAAATAATAAATGTAATAAAGCGAAATGCAATGAAAAGGTGCGCCTATACTAAGAAAACGCACAAAAAATGCGTTTAAAGCCCCTTTCCAGGACGTAAACACAACACGCCCATTGCTGGCTGCCAGAAATATGTGGCACTCCCGACGCTGTTTGTCTCAGTTTCGGTTCCAGGAAACGACAGACGGGAAACAGAATTTATAAGTGTGAAGTTCTATTTCCATGTTTTAGGGGGCTCGTCGCGGAAGATGAACACTGATAAACAGGAACAGCAATTATTCCGTTGAAGAGAATGCTATCATTTTGTATTTGAATTTTATGATAATATCCTCTGTCTTTGAAGGCAAAACATGTTACGCTTGAGAACGCATCTGATAATTGACCATAACTAATTACCGGAATTTTTCATGCATTCAAAGTAATCGACGGTGATCAATCGATTGATTAAAAAGAATATAGACATGGCATACCACATCTCCCTTAACAATGCTACCATGGCATACAGAATCAACTCAGTCTGCCATCAAAATCGAACATAGAAAGAAACTAAAAAGCATTATTCATTGGTTTATATCCATGGTCAAAAAGTTTTATATCGCATAAAAAAAAGGTGTTTCAGAAAATGCATGCTGTTTTACATTAGAACTAAAAGCCTTACTAAAAATACGTAAATAAATGATTCTGAAAACTAAACCGACATTGGTTTGGTTGATTTGATTGTAGCAAAACATGCGATGATTATCTGCATAGGGAAAGGCTTACTAAGTAAAATAGGCAAATATATGGGAAAAGGAACGAAAACACATCTATTTAGCCAGCCCATTCGTCGATATTTGAACACGAGTCAACCTACCAATGTTCAGAAGTCTTTCCTACTCGGCCACAGGCACAGAAAATTTAGCACCTTTATATTCATTAAAATTAATAAAAGTTTTAAATGCAAATTATTTGTTATTAAGTAAATACATCGGCGAAAACATCTCATGGCGATGACCTCTGAAAGCGGCCAGTATTTCTCGAAGCATAAATAAATATCGTTATAGAACACGATCACTTTTTTTAGAGGATCACCTCCACAAAAGAATGTAATCGTCTGTAGCTATGAATGGTCGTTTTAAAGAGGTTATTCTTTAAAAATCATGTTACAGCTAGTATAGTGCGCTGAAATATGAAAACAAATCTTAGAACAAAAACGATTCTGTATCAAAGTGCGTACCAAATGGCGTTAGCAACATGGTTTTTAAAATTATAACATTACCATTAATATTTATAAAAATGCCAATTAGATATATTAAAAATTAAATGCTCTAAATTAAATTCAATATAACTGTTTAAAAAAGCAAATTAAAAATTTAAATTATTAAAAATTGTGTTTATTGCCTTTAAATCGCAAAGTCTGTTAGGCTATACAGTTATAACATGAAAGTTAAATTTAAGATCTTATGTCATACTGAGTGGCAATTGTCTAAAAAATGGCTATTTGCCAGATCGCAGTGGATCTGAATTTAAGATCTTATGTCATGTGCAATGGTAACACTTACTAGACTGCGTAGTTGTTAAATGTAAGATAGTGTTAAGAAATAGCATAATGTAACATACGTAAAAAAACTTAAAGTAAGGCTCCAAAAATTGGAAATACTCCACCAGAGATATTTCTGATTCAAAGCATTTAGTTATTTTATAAAACTATATTTCCAAAATTAATGCTATCATAAAAGTAATATTAAGTTTTTGAGACAGAATATTAAGCCGATACAACCAACTACATTTGGTTGGACCAACTCTCAGATGTACCAACTCTCAGACTTTCAACTCTCAGATGTAATAAATTGGCTTGAATGCCTGGATGAGATATTGCAGTACAGAAACAGAAACCTATGGTTAGACGTTCCTTCTCACACATAACAGGAATTTCCCAGATCAACTTTATCATCGATGACACACTTTTAAGTGTTGGCAATACGACTTACGACTTGCTTTGTGAAACATTCATCCAGGGTCACGACTGAGTTAACAATGAAAAAATCCTATCAGATAACTTTGCTCCCCGCTGTTCTACACTCTTTTCAACAAAAAAAAAAAAAAAAAAAAAAAAATACGCACTGTGTAGCAGCTTGCATCTCCTTCTGTACCCATTGAGCAAATATACGATTTCCTCCCCCTTTCATTCTTTGAATTTGCAGAAGTCATCTTGTAAATTACAGCCATATAAAGATCCAGACATGATTTCATCTTTCAAGTCTCACTGAACTAAATTTATAAGATGAACCTTCTCCTCACGACCATCTCCGAGAGCGACCACTAATTCCCCGAATATAAATGGCATTAAACATCAATTCTTTGCGACCACCACGTTCTCAGGTACAGGTACAAGTGCTTGAGAAACATCAGAATTTCACTACTTGTTCTATAGGCATAGCCCAACGGCACTAATTGTTCAGCTCCGCCTTAATTTTGATGGAGAATGGCGGACTAATCCGAAGATCTCCCACCGCTCTTCCCCTTACCACAACTCGAAAGGACTTTCGGCTTGCCACACAGACACTATATCCCTATGCCACACAGACACTATATACGTGCAAATATCCATGGCTTTTCTAGGATTCGAACGTGGGCTTAACCATACGGCAGCTAGCATGGCTAAATGGCCCTATACTGGCCGGCGACCAATATAACTATAGCCGGAAACCACCTCTACAGAAGACCAAAATCATCCGGGCATTCACTGTAGCTGGCAACCGGAGCGTCTAAGAGAGAGTTTACTGTATTTGATAAGTTAAGCAATTTAGGCACTTCCTAATAAGAACGGCATATTTAAACAGATGTTTAGGTTAGGTTAGGTTATTTTAATTACGGCAAAGCCTCGAGGGCTATCTGCCTAAGGGGTGGGATGCCTTCGTGGAGGACTTTCTAAGGGTAACTAACTCGTATACACGTTACACATGGGGAAAACCACGAAACGCCCATGCAACCAGCCCGTTCGCGGGATTCGAGCCTCGGACCGAACTACCAGTGTTCAGCGATTTTACCTCTCAGCTGCTGGTGGGCTTAGAAATATGGTAAAAAATAAAAGATATCCGAACTATATGAAGTATATATATATACATCGATTTTCGAAATAATTTTAAATTGATTATATTCAAGTTTTGGATTTCTACTTATTTTTTGCTGGAGGAAAGTATCTTATTCATCCAATCCTCTACACATCTGTGTTGTTTGATGCAACTTACAAATGGTCTTTTAAATTAACAGTTTTAAAAGATAAATGCTGATATTAGTTTTT